AAATAAGTCGCATGGGAAGCGAGGAACTACTCAGTAGATTGAGCTTCGACCGCGTGGTTGCATGGATCTACATGATCATCGGATGCCAGGCCGCAGTAGAGCGTGGTCATGTGGGATTATTCACCATTGTTCCTGAGTACGTTCCTCACAATGAATCCACAGTGCGTTGAAACTTTTCGTGCGTACATTTCCTTCGTAGTCACGAGGTTACGAATTATGTTCACTTCCCGGGATATCCACTTTGTATTTTCTTTGAAGATTTTCAAAAGCCGGCCTCTGCCGAGAATGCCCTTTCTTGCAATTCTTATTGTACTCCTGTAACAAGAGCTAATTTGGGCGATATAATCAAAATATTTTCCTGACACAGCACTGAGTAAAGGGTAAATGGCTGATTGGAGTATGTAGTGCAGCCAGATGTAGTGCGGCGGTTTATTGCGCGCACAGTCAAGGGTCACAACCGTAGCAACCAGGCTAGTTGATGGAAGATTTCATGGGGGAGGGCATGCTAAGGTCGAGAAAGAGGAAACTTACCTTGTGGAAACAGGCGAATCCTCTGATGTCTCTCCGACAGAAGTCCTGTCGCGCGGCAAGAAGGCAGAGTCAACGGAGGGTGTCCCGCAAGAGGCCCGTCGCGCGGCGAAGGAAGAGGCGCAGCGTGTGCTGGGACGTATCATGGTACATTCTATTTAAGCTGACGCTAACCGCACGCGGTTATGCACTGCGCACTGGTCCTTTGGCCGCGTCTGCGTCTCGGGTCCGCAGCCCAGCGCGTACTGTAGTGATTTCGCGTCAAGTTAAATACATGTACCAATGTACGTCCTACATCGCACAGCACGCGCTGTGTCACGTTCGCTGACTCTGCCTCTTGCCGCGCCACGGGCCTCCTGTCGGGTACCCGGTGCGGGAAAATGACACGGAATTGCAGCGAAGCATATGCTCCCAGCAACCCGCAAGGCTCACCCCGTGGCGCTACCGGCGTGGCACGTTCATCGACCGGCTAACCACTCGTCACAGGTCTGTAGCCATTTCGCAGAGAGTGCGTTAGCGATTAAGGGGGCCATTTTGTAGTTTCGGGCCGTTTATCATGTTGATTCTTTATCCCGGCACCACTGACCACCTCTACCCTGGTTTCTAATGGGCAGCCTTCGAATCGAAAAGTCAGCATTTGAGCGTTCCAATTTCAATGTCGGCATTTTGGAATCAGTATGTGATTCCTTAATACTGGAATGGCTCTTGGGGATAAAAACAGTGAATTGTTATGGGTTGGCTCCCGAAAGTAACTGTTCAGCTCGAACCTCTTTCAGCTGCAGCTGCTATCCCAAATTGAAGTGGAATGCGTAGCTCATCTCAGAAAGTTTTGTCCAATCCTCAAATATTTGTCTTGTTCTGATTGGAATGTTATTTATCGTGAATGTGCAGTTTCTCTTACTAGCAGTAAAGACCAAGAGGGAAATCGTAAGACGAATTTGTATGGAATCTGTTGCTATGTGGCGTTGAAATCAGTCATGTGCAGCCGCAAGAGGAGCTTCTCGTAATGCGAAATCTGCTAATTGTTTACTATCACTCTATCACTACTAATGGTTGCTTTCCTGCCTCAACGACAACAATGAGGTGATCAAGGGTAGTTGCGAATGCCAAGTATAAGATTTCTGTCTGGGACGATAGTAGAGTGGCTCTAGCAATTGTTTGTGGTCACCAGGCCATGATGACTTCGACTTGACCTTTGTGTTTGAACGAAGCTCCTTTGGGGAAGGGGTGTAGACCACTTCTTGAAGCACTGCAAAGTTCTGGTGTTAGATCTCACACTCATTACAAAGTGAGTGCAGTCTCGAAAGCTCGTTATCTTTGAGTAACGAGCATCGAAACTTCGTGAAGGTTCGAAAAATACACAGCGGCATAGCGGGGTAAAAGACGCCGAGAATAACGCGCAGGCGGTCCTGACCTATCAGATTGAAATGCTGGGGAAAGCATTTTTTAATTGAATATTAGCACGAAGAGTAGAGCCACACTCTAACCTTTGGGTTATGTATTCGTTAGGTTGCCACATACTCATAGACAATGGGTCTACGTAGGCACGGCATACGCGCTGGAGTTACAGTGTGCGATTATTTTAGAGGGGCATTTTACTTTGAAGGTAGTTCTGATTAGACTCCAGAGCGATTCTATAAGTACGTCACAAGGACGATGAGTTGGGAGACCTATAGAGGCACTCAGTATAAATCAACGCGGGGGAGGACGAGGGATTATGATTGTGCGAACTTACGACTTATCACCACCACTTTCAAAGTAACAGACGGTGCTCAGTAGTGCTTTGGTAGCGATGAGCCATCACCTATATGGTTCAGAGAAGGTATGAAGCAATTTTTGATAGTAGTGTGAGGATTTCAATGCCATTTCACCCAGTCCCTTGCAACTTCTCCGTTCCTTATTTTTCGTTCACGGCCTTTGATCACTCAGCTTAGGGTGCAGTCTGTGGTACTTTACTAGCGCTCCTGGTAAATAGATTAACCAAAGTTCACTAGAGCGGCAGTTGCAGCTGCAAATCGAAAATGAAATTAAGTGCAGAATTGTTTTTTTCTAGTTTATACTTACTGTTTACTTATAATTATCAGCTGGAAAAGGAAAGGAAGGAAAAGTGCAACATCGAAGAAGAACCATTCCTCCACAAAAACGCCAACTACGGATAACCCGTAGGAGGAAATAGAAAGGCTATCCATTCCAAGAAACACGCTAAGCGAAGACGAGGAATCGCCCCTTTCTCAATTATGTGGGAGGAAACAATTCCGTTCTCGAGATCCAAATAGCCCACTACAAAGTGCTTTTTCGGAAGCTCATTTCGGGGCTGCAACAACATTGGTAAATGGCGTGACTAATGTAAGTGAAAACATAACTTTCGCGACCACAGAATCAAGAAGTATCCAAATCGGCACAGCTTCCTTCTTAGATGTCCATATTTCCTCGATGAATTAGTTTATATCAGCTCAATAACAAGTCATTAAGACATGTATTGAGCGACGATGAAAGAGGGAAAATTGTTGAAAACCTACGAGAAGGGCACTTCGTAATGAAAAATATGCTATGCTAAAAATATGCTATAATAATGCTCGACACTTCAGGAGTGCTTCCTTTCTGCTGTTCAGTGTTTTGTGTGTGGTGGGGGGGGGAGGGGGTAAAGGAAAGAGGGGGTAAGGAAGCCACATGCTTTTCCTGATCTTTGAGCTCACCTCAAATACTGATACTTATTAACTTTATTCACATAAGTTGAGGTGTTGCCTCACTGAAGTTCGCGGGACCAGTGGGTAAGTAATTTCACTTGGGAGTGCTGTCATGACAAATGACGCCGCTTACCCCGCACACGATCTTGGGATGAAATCCTGGATCGTACGCGTTCCGAGTCTTCCATATCTTCCGGATCGGTTACATGGAACAAGACTTTTGGTCTCATGTAATAAAAACACAGGTTTTCCATCGAAAGTCCTCCACAATTCATTGGATGAAACAAGTTCTATTCAGTGGCATCGAAACTACAATTATGGATGGAAGTAGAACACGTGGCGCATCCCGCATACCGAAGAACTGTTTTATGCCGAGCGCTCTATTGTTGTGAGCAAGCGTCTGTGAGCAATTAATTGACAAAATCGGGCTACATATTGGTCTATGTCCGACACCACTAAAGGAGGGTCAGCACCGATGGCCTTCCAGTACGCGCTAGATTAGGACACCTATCCGATTGTGCATGCGTCAATTCTTTAACATTGATCGCTCCGATCGCTCCATCATCTCATTTCAATTGCGTAAGCATTACCGGGGGGGGGTATGTTATCCGGTTTTGCCATGGTATCAAAGTTCTCTCTACACGCTTTAACAACATCTGGGAAGCGCAATTCTCAGATGTAAAGTGAATCAGTCCTTTCCGTGAATGTTTATGGCTACCCTCAAAAGTCTGAGACGTGATATAATCGCTCCTCCAAAGTGCTTGGCAATAGCGGGTGCGTAGCGTTTCTCCTCTCTGGGGTGAGGTCACTCAAAATTGAGACGCCGTTCATTCGCTCGGAGCAAGCTTAGGACTAAGCCTAGGCCCAATCATAGGCTTAGGCATAAGCCAATGTGCATAAGCCTTAACCTAAGTCTAAACCCAAACTTAACCTTAAGCTTCAATGATCGCGCAACTGTGGTGACCTGACCCCAGGAGGAGAAACGCACGTCTCCCGCAATAGCACGGACCTTGTTAATTGATATATCAGGCGTGGCCTGCTCTTCGTGATGCAGCGTCCATGCGGCGACGTGTCTGCGTCTTCCCATCTCCCACATGTTCTCTGGTTAATATAATAATAATAATAATAATAATAATAATAATAATAATAATAATAATAATAATAATAATAATAATAATAATAATAATAATAATAATAATAATAATAATAATAATAATAATAATAATAATAATAATAATAATAATAATAATAATAATAATAATAATAATAATAATAATAATAATAATAATATCTGTTCTTATTAATCGCTCTCGATCATTATGAGTACCTTTAGCACCTTCACATTCCCTGAATGTCGCTCTGTTAAAGTTTTTTCGACTGATTCCTTTCATTCAGATTCACTTCCGGCTCTCTTCGCACCCTGTTTTGGTTCCTTAATGAAGAAAAACATCCAGCAAACCTTCGAGGAACATTAGAATTAAGAAAATGATCTCTCGTATAGTCGCCAGAGTAAAGAGGTGTACAGGTGTTGAGGGTCAGCCAGAAGCTTCCGTATCGGAAAACTCTTTCAAAGAAGCGAATGTGTAAACATCGTGACAATGTGGCTAACGAAGCAATTATTTCTTTTATGATACAGCATGTTATCTCTGATGAAAACTGTTTTGAAATATAGCAGTTCTATTTTTTCAGAAAGAAGAGTGAATAAATATTTGGATACTGAACAGCGGGAGTGGCTAGAGGTTTAATGGCTTGAACATTTAGTTTGTGAACGGCACTTGTCCGGAGATGTACAAGCCGTTGATAACTGGTGGTATGAACACGTTCTATGTGTACGTGTTTCCAGTACAGTTCTTTTTGGGTGTGATCGGCAACGCTTTGAATCTTTGCGTGCTTCCTCAGCCGACACATGCGGAGTGAGGTGAGTGAACCCTTTTGCGTCATCGACTCCCTATAACCACTTTTTCTTCAGGCGAATTACCTACTTTCTGCCCTTGCAATCGCTGATATCCTGCTCTTTTTGACGATGTTACCAGCAGCTTTGGGCGACGGTTTGGGACCGCTACGTTTACACCAAACGATTACTTCGGTAACTTGCTCTCAGCTGTTGACCGTGCATTCAAAAATTCTATGGAAGCCTTACATGAGTTTTAGGAGGTTCTACTACCATTCACACACGATGCGACACTGGTTTTCAAACGTCTTCTCCTGCATCACTTCTTGGCTTATTTTGGCCGTCTCAGTGGAAAGGTGAGTGCAGCCATTCCGTAATAACTTCGTATAGCATACGAATAAATCGTATAGAAATACTAACCGATTTGAGGAATTCGCCCTGCGAATGAGTCGCACTTGCATTGCACCAATTTCCACCTCTTCGCTTGCCAAAAATGCGTAGTGACTTTCAAGCAATAAGGGTAGCAGTCTCTCTGCAAGGTCCTGACGCATTAGCTCGAAACAAACCATTTTTCAAGTTATGGACGCAGTACTAAAAATCGCGATTAGCATGACGGAACCCATTCAGACTGAACCATTAGCCATCCCCTCCCCCCCCCCCCATCGCACAGTGTTTGAGGCGCAAACAATGTCATTACACATTCCTTAAGGCTGAAAACTATCTTTAGAATGGACTATACCAGAAAATGCCACACTGTCACTTCGAAGCCTGACTTTTGAGTCTTTCTTTCCCCTATTGCTTTCGAGTAATTCCGTTGCAACTTGTTATCGGCGGTTGCTATAACACGGCTAAGACGGCATTAAAAATGGTTGCACGTTGCCTCGGGTCCCGAATTTCAACAAGAGTTATTGCACTCTAGTGAAACGAAGACCAATGTGCTCGGCGCAGTTCCGGAGACTGCAAAAAGTCCCTCTGTTCCAAGAATCGGGATATAAAATAAAAGCGAGGATTTTCAAATCTTCGATAAGGAGATCTTTTGTGCCCTTTGAAGATAGCACGCTGACTGAGGCTTCCTTTGTGGTTCAAAAGAAAATTCAGCGAAGAGGCTGGGTATGAACGAGACTTTGGCCCTAGACGGCTCGAAGCCCCCGCACCTCTTTGCGGGACAGGGCAAATGTGGCCTTACAATTACGCCATCCCATTTCAATCCCAATATCATGGTTTAGGTCTTCATTGTGTTGTCCCCTTACATAGCTTGTCTGTTCAACACATAACCGTGTTGAGCGCGTGTTAGCCGAACATATCCGCGAGGTCCTTAATTGCTTACACCTGCCCTGTCACAGCAAGTAGGTTCAGGTTCGAGTCCGGTCTGATGCGAAAGTTTAGTTCACAACCCAGCGGTCTTGTGGAACATCCACAAGGCGAACTACAGCCAAAAACAGCAGATAACAAAAAATTAAGCCAAAAAGTCATAGTTTATTAGTTCTTGGAGCTGAATTAGATTCAAGCTGCTCGAGGGTCGATATTGCAGTGAAAAAATGAGCAAATATGCACATTACACAAATGTCATTTGGACCATAATTGTGTTGTAATAATAGTAACAGCTAGGTCATTCAAAGTTGTACCCTAAGATCAAACTTTTACGGTTCCTATAACCGAATACGAGACAGATCAATGCAAAAGGATTGTTAGATAATAAAAGCGAAAATAAATCGTTCAAGAAGCTATGTTAAGGACTTGTTCATTATTTCGAAAGGTAGCACTAAAGCAATGAGAGACTGAGCGCGGAGTGGAGAGCTTGAGGCGAAACAGCGCAACAAGTGAGAGGGCTCCAGACAGCAGCTTATTGTGGACGGGAAATTGAGCAGTGGTGCGCGCTAAGCTTTTGCAAGTTCCTAACGCGTGCCAAGAGTGATTTCAATGCATGGAATACCACATCTGTGGTTGCCCTCTAGGGTCTTATGACGGAAAAAAAACCAACCGCTTCCGTCGCGTTTTGGCCGTCTTGAGGTCATGCGAAGCTTTCGATCGCGGGTATGTAGCGGTAACCATTCCTGGTTTTTCCAGGCAAAATTAAATACGAGTTTCTGTACACCCATTCTGTATCATAGGCTTGGTATTGCTATGCAGCCTGAAAAATCGATAAGGGTAATGCAAGCCCCAATTTATGGACGCTCTCGGCATCTGTTGCTCTTTTCGATTGATGAAGAGCATATGTTTTCCCGGTACTGGGAATCTCTTCACCGATGCATGCCCGAGGGGAATGGCGAGAATCACGAGTACGATACTTGATGATGTTGGTGGTGGTGGGAAGTTTATCACTGACTGCCTTCCACCATTTCGAATACAAGTATGGGTACGCTACGATGTGCAACGGAACGCTCACCTACGGGAAACTCGTTCCGATAGACCGCGTCAGTCACAAAATTCACACTTCTCTGTGGACACCTTGTAACGATTCTTTCTTTTCAGCTCGTCCCGCACATCTCTACTCTTCAAGTGCGTGTAGTGACGATTCTCAAGACGTTACAAATAATTCTGGTGGTGATTCTGCCGCTGATTGGTATTGTCGTCCTGAATCTGAAGATCATTCTGGTATTACGACGCAGTAGCGTGCTCGTCACCAGATCGGCCAAGAGCAGCACCGATGATCCAAATGATGAATTTCTTAGGTCAGTGGAGGACTGATGCTTAAAAGGTTGAAAGGTTCTAAATCAGTTTTTTGCAGGGACACCGATTCACGTCAGAAACGCGACCGAAAAGTCACCATCACCGTGCTTGCCATCATCGCGTGCTTCTTCTTAACCCATGTACTACTTCTTAATATTTTTTTTTCTTTTCAGAAATTAGATATCGCAAGCTTTCACATAAAAATCGACCTTTTATTCTGAGGCACTTTTCACCATTACCTGTGTGGAATGAAGCCCTTGCGCGAGGGGGACAGGGTGGTCCGCAAGCACATACATACCTGTACCGACTCTGCGATAAGAATGGAAAGCAAAGGGGCGGGCCTAAAGGGGCACTTGAATCTCACTCAGCGCTTAGACCCTCAGAAATCAGTGCAACTTCAATGATCAAAAGCAAAATGATAAAGGAAAACTATATTCAGGTTTGGCAACACGTACTATTTTTTTCCTCAGCAGCGACCCCCTTCCATTTCTATCTCCAAGCGCAATATCCACACTATTGTCATGGAGGATTGATGTCGTTAAATAAAAGTATAATCACGACGACAGGAGGGCGTTGCGGTTTACATGCCGTCATTGAATGTCATTGGTGGAAGGGCATTGAGAGGCGGTCCCAACCAATCACAATGGTCATCATATTACACTGTCCTCCAGCCATTGATCACTCATTAAATGAGAAAATGGCTGGGAAACACAGAGAAGGGCGCTGCAACCTGTGTTCTTATCTGATCTCTGGTTTCAGACACCATCGACACTTCCGTTCATTCTGGAGCTCATCTCACCAATAATGACCCCTTCTCAACGAGATTTTCATCCGTCGACTTATGCCAGAACTCGGTCCCATAGTTCACGGATGGCTGCTAACGGGAAAGGTTTGATTTTTTTTTCTTTTTCTTTTTTTTTCAGTATTTTTCAACAGAGTATAGCAGAGCTGTTCTATTTAGGTGATGAATTTCGTGCTATTCTGCATGTCGTCGGTTTATTTCAGGCGGCGGCTCCGAGCTATAATTTGGAGCAGGGTGAGTCTCATTAAGCAATCGGGAGCAGAATTTCAGTCGTTCTTTGAAGCTATGTGAAGCATCGAGCTTTATATCTCTTTTTAAGTGGGATATCTGAAATATTGCTCGTTGATGACGAGTCAACGTTGAAATGGATAGAATTTGGTGAGGCAGGTATAGTGGGCGACAGTTTTATCAATTCAGCAGGGCAGGGATTGCTATATTCAGTCAAATTGAAACAACCGCGCTTCTCAGGCCCACTGATGTTTTGAATTTCACATTAAAGGAATCTTCCACGGACCATGGACCAGTGGGCGGGACCGGAAGTGGTTTTGCGACGAAATGCATGGTAGGTACGGATCCACGTTCATGGGAAGGTTTGAAGTGAATCCTGTTCACGTTCGTGCGTTCGACACGTGGATCCGTACCTACCATGCATTTCGTCACAAAAACTTCCGGTCCCGCCCACTGGTCCATGGTCCGTGGAAGATTCCTTTAAAGTTCAATAAGTGAATGAGGCTTGACTCCACTTAACGAAAAACGAGGCTAGGTTTAGATATAGCGCTGTAGGAGTCCTTTAAAATCACTAACTTTATCCACGATGCAGGAGAACACTCGCAGATGTGAACGTTCCTTGAGGAACAAGAAAACAGAAACGGCATAAATTTTTCGGTTGGGCCCAGAAACGTTGTACAAGGAACAGTGAATGCGAATTATCATTTCGCGCTATATGTTTGATTTCTCCCCCCCCCCCTAACCCGTAGCCTTTGCAAGCAAAAGTCGCAATAAGCGAGTCTACTCGCAAAGTTTTCGAAGGATCGAGGTAAAAGCAGGTCCTGGAGCTTGGTTATGCCTTATTATCGACCGCAGTTAGCTCACCAGCCTTGTTTTTCTTACTCGTTTTCGTGCAAAAAATATTCTCTTTGATCGTGAAAAGTTGACCTTACCTGCTCAAACTCATAACCTCAAATGTAATGGGTGACCATGCCACAATCAATGTCTTCCTACACTCGTGGAGGGTGGAATAGGGGCTAGGAGGAGGAGACACCCGTTTTGCTCTCCAATACTAAATATGTATAAAAATAACAGCGCTCATGACACTTCGTTGACCCAGTTGAAGTTTCTCCTGACAGGTACCGGTGTAGGGTGGAATACTCAAGAGGTGCTTTCATAATGTGGACAGGATGCGTGAGATGTAGGGCACAACAACTCGTTTCGTATAGTGAATCTCATCCTTTTTGATATTGCCTCCAACGAACGATGCTCTCTAGTACCAAAGATAAGATAAAAGGAGTCGCTTTCTCAAATCTCTTTTCACCTCCATGAAGTATTCTCCACGGACTACAACTGGCACATGAACTGATCATGAGTATCATACAATAGTGGTGAACGCTCCTTAAAGGCAGAATTTACGATGAAAAGTTAGCTCATTGGAAATAAGGGTAGAGGTGGTCAGTGGAGCAGGGATGAAGAAGAAACCATTTGAAACGGCCCGAAACCCGAGAAATGGGACCCCTTCCTTGCCCGTTGATTTGCGCATTGATGCGACTCTCATCGCTGTGCCCTCTTCAACACTACGCTCTCTCTGCTATCTAATCACTCGCCACGTATAGACCTGCGGCGAGTGATTAGATAGTCGGTGGGCGTACCCCGCCAACCGCGCCAAGAGTGAGCCATGCTAGATCGCCGAGGTCAAATCTTTCGCTGCCAATTGCGCGTCGGTCAGCACCCTCAGGAGGTCCGCCTGTCTCCCAACTATGCATTTTCCTTCTTTCACCTTTGCTCTTATTGTGAATTCCTCCTTCAAAGGAATTCTTCCCGGAAAAAATCATGATTCTATCTTACCCATAAATAGGCTCTTACCCATAGGCTTG